GGGGGTTGGCGGTGGGGGTTAATCTCCCTGAACTGGGGCAGATGTTGTTAACGAGCTCCTCTCAGGTCGACTCCCTGCGTGGGAAAATGGCATCAAATCCTCCTGGGGTCAGGGCTTTCGGGCTGACCCACTGAGAGCCATCCCTCTCCACCGCACCGTCCCCTCAATCCCCTCCGCATTCACTCAGCCACCCACCCACTCCCTAATTCACCGACGGCACTCACCAGAGACACTACAAAACCACATTCGACACATCTTTTTTACTCATTTTTATGTACCCTTGCTCTTTCACGTACATCCTTAATTTCCAGCTCCTTGTCTGAACGAATGCGAGCACCAACAGACTTGTTCCCAGATGCGAAAGGCTCATTACTGATAGATGTGGTGTGAACATCATGCCTTACACGACCACAAGGAATGCTGAGTGGGAAGCGCTTCAAAGGCCAGCGTGCCGCCGCTCAGCATACTGCATCCGCTAGCAGCGCGGTTCTTGTTTGGTTTTGTTTCCTGTCAGGTGAGAGTAAATCAGTTAAATTAAGGCCTTATAGACTTTCAGGCGCCCGGGCTGCTGCAGGTTGGGAGTAAAGAACTCACCGAGGGTGTGAAATTAAAGTTAAGCAAAGGTGAAAAAAAGAGGATGTTCCTCCTTCAGCCACAGCTTGATGTGATATACAAGATCTCTGTTGTGTTGGAAACACCGGACACCTGCGTTACAAAGCATGCAAGAGGATATCCGCCCAAGTCGATCCTTTTACATTCACCGAGTCAAAACCCAAAGGGCAAACTTTTGCACACCTATAGGTCAACAGGTGCTTGTTAAAATCTCTCGACGATGTGGAACAGCAAAATGCGTCTAATCTTCATCGGGTGGATTTTGTGTCTGTTCACCACAATATTCAGCAAAAGTAGAAAGCGTGTTAAGAGGACATCGTGGGAAAGTTCAGCATGTTGTTTGTGTGAATGAAAAACAGTGGACGAATAACGTTGAACTGCGCGGAGGAGTAATGGCCCAGAAACGCGGCCACGAGGCGGTTCGTGCGCACACTTTACACACTGTACACACACACGTGTTTGCTGTGATGTGGAGGCTTCTCATCACTCATATCCTGAATGGACAAGTCTCTTTACCACATCATGTCAACATGCCTGCTGTAGGGTTTATCCTGACTTAGGTTACAATTCGAGGGTCATCCATTAAGGTGTCTCACTCCGAAGGTGTGTTGATTTTGTCCCAGCAGGTGTGTGTGAATATGAGACTTGTCAAATATGAGACGGTATTACCGCCTCTTTTGTCCCAAACAAAACAAATACAAATCACACGAACAGCTGAACCGGCTGGATGCTGCTGTTGTCTTTGCTGCCCGGGTTGTAGGTTTAGAGAGTTTACCCCAATGGGACCCTACGACGCTTTTTGTTCAGCAAAGCGCCGCTGAGTTTTACGCCGACTTGTTTTTGCTTGTAATGCGCGAGGAAGACGTCTAAAAACCACACGTGTGCGTATCCGCGAGCACACAACTAAGAATGAAACTGGATTAGAAGGCCTGTTCCTGAATAACCTGTATGGGCAATTACACACAAATCGTTGGTTCTGTTATTGCACGTTAAGCGAAGCCCAGGCACCGAGGTGGAGACGCTCCAGTGTGTAAAAGCGTCTCCGCTGCAGATGGTGCCTTCTTTGAAGAGCACATCACTTTGTCCATGGACACTGGAGCATGTGGCGTGGAGTTCTGACCCCACTTCCTGACCCGTCTTCGGAAGCCCCCGAAAAAATGGGGCCAAGTGTACATGCGCCGATGTATATGCTGCCTAGGGACAGCGAAGTGTATATGGGACTCCTGCAAGACAATGCGGAGTTGGGGGCGAGGGGGTGGGGCTGAAGACTTAAGGGGGAAGATTATGCCTCTCATCTAGGCCACGGATATTGATTAGTGTTTGTTGAGGACAGTGAGAGGAAACACAGATTGACAGATACACAATGGTCGTGTGGTCTTATCGTGTTGCTATTGTGTTCATCCAGTAACCTGTACCCATGTCTGTGTGCGCATCCGCCGCTGTAAATGCACACACACACACACACACACACACACACACACACACACACACACACTCCAAAACAAAACCGCTTGCACTTCTCATGCACTTGCATTAGAAAATAAAACATATTTTTACACTTTACAGATTTATTGTCCTGGGTGGAACTGGTCAGTTTGATGGCCCTTTTATTTTTCAAGTGTGGCCCAGTGTGTGTGTGTGTGTGTGTGTGGTTTATGGGCGTGTAACCCTGGGAACGTGGGGGGAGGTGGAGCGCACGGGGCTACGGGTCAGTCCTGACTGACTCTGTCACTTATTGATTAGTTGCCATGGAGAGTTAGTCCGTCCATCTCTCTTGGAGGTGTGTCCCTGAGGGCCAGCAGCACTGCCCAGATGAGCCTGTGGAGGCTTTGTCTGCAGGGGGTCAGTGTGCGTGTGTGTGTGTGTGTGTGTGTGTGTGTCTAGTGTGCGTGATTGAGAGCGTGTGACCTCGCTAACTCTCACTCGCACTTCCTCCATCCTCGTCCCTCTTCTTTTCACCCCCTGTGGTACTTCTTCTCCTACTTTAGGCACTTTTGCATCAAACTCACATCTAATCTACTGTTTTTTTTAAATGCATCAATATTTATATACATCTACTCCCCAAGCCCCCCCCCCCTCCCCCCCCCCACCATAATGGGGATTGTAAACAAATTGTCCAAACTTATTGAGCTGTGAAATCCCCTTCGTGGCCCCTGGATTTGCGCTACTCATATGATCCGCTCTCATCTCTGCAGCTCGTATTGTAGTTGTTCCCATCAAACGTTGAGAAGGCGCGGCGGCGGGAGTGAGAGCAGCGGGGCAACGGACGGCCCGGACCCGGAGTTCCAACCTGCGGTAGCTGACGACTGGACTAACAGCCCCAGCAGGGGGCCGTGAGGGTGCCGTTCTTTGCACCTCTTTGGAATAATTAGGAGGGTTTTAAAAGTTCAGCTAGTGACTGGGGCGCCATGCCGTTGTTTTTCGACCCATCTTTGTGAATTCTTGGCCATTTTTTGGTGTTGATAAAACCGTAGTAAATGAGTCGGTCATTCTCATTTTATACATACTTATGTTTTCAAACTTATTTGGAAAGAAAAAACAAACCGAGAACTATAGAATTAGTACAAATCACGAGCACACAAGAACTGCAAATCACACTTACAGCAGTTTTGCGTGGCATATTTATTCATGCATGCAAAATAGTTAAGTCATTTTGGACAAATTCCCTTTTGCTTTTCCCTCAGTAAGTGAATCAGAACATCTGAGGTGCCTGTTTACAACCTGTGTGAAGCCCATAAGGCCTCAGGTCTCTTCTCCATCTGGACACGGTTGTGGATCTATAACTTTGTAAATTAAAAAGTGCCAAGCCCCAAAACACAGGATTCAGCTCTTATTAAAGCTGATGTAGTTCTTTCAAGAGAAAATGATACAATTACTGACTTTACTGACTATTTTTTGTAAATAGTTGTAAATTAGTATTTAGAATGATGCAAACTTCTCCCCTTAAGAGTATGCGCACAATCTTCTTTGCCCGAAACCTGACAACGGCCCCCGCTATCCTGCCCTAATATCACACCTTGGATGCATAAACATGCCTGTGCTCCACACATCACCCCACCCCGGGGGGGAGGTGGGGGGGGGGGCTGCATGGCTATAGTGCCGCGCTTTGACACCAAATAGGGGAGATGGCGGGCCCCCTTTGTCATGCAAACACCAATCGCTTCTTGTCTTATTCAAAAGTCTGCCCTCTCTCTTTCTCCTCTCTCTCACTCTCGATCCACCCCGACTCCGCTTCGCGCTTCACCCCCCGAATTTAGCTCTCTTCCAGGCTCTCCCTTCTGTTTAAGGCCAAGTAAATCTCGGCTGAGAGATGGGAGGGGGGAGCCTTCTCGGCCCGGGGCTGCTGAGGCAGGCCTCTCTCTTGGGGGTCAGCCTCTGTCTCGGAGCATGGGGCTGTTTCCAGGCCCGACCGAGGCTATTTCATATTCAAATGTTACAATCAGGCCTCTGACCCGCAGGGGGCTCTTTATGGTTGCGGCCCCAGGTCGTAGGGTCAAGATGGTGATTTAATAGCTCAGGCAGAGGAAAGGCGCGGGGGGGGGGGGGGGGGGGCGCAGAGTGATTTAGGGGATGAATGAGTAATAAAAAAGCATTTTTCCTAAGTTGTCATGTAAATTTCAATCCGTATTCAATACGAGGCTGCCACCAGACTGGAGGCCTTTCCTCAATGGCTTTCTAGTGGACTCCAGTCATTACAAAATGAAGAAAGTCCATTCTCCGCTTTTACTCTTGACTTGTGCATGGAGCAAACAGGAGCTGGTGGCGAAGAAGCCCAAGGATTAGGGATGAAGATAAGCAGACGTTAAAGAGTCATCATGCTAGTGTGGTGCCACTGTGTCTCAGATGCTCTGGAGCGGCCTGTTCTTCCTGTCCCCAAGGGTGTGTCCCCGGCACAGCGGCTCCATTAGCGCAAGACGGGTTGGTGTGTGCCTATATGTACTTGCATAATGCGCTTTTAAGTTTACATGTGGAAACATGGAGGCACACACAGTGCTTGAACCCAATGCGCATGTTTATTTTTTTCCCCCCTGTAAGGTGCAGGTGTTTTTTCATCTGCATTGTGCTCTTATTTTCTTTCTTTCTGTGACTCACACGTTGTGTCATATTCAGGCCATCCCTAAACCTGACTCATTTAAACCACAGGCAAACCCTTTGATCTCACGCACGGTTTCCATGCCACCCTTTGATGCAAATACAAGCAGAGGATCTGTTTTTCAGCCCAGTCCCTACAGGTCAACATGTACCAATGAAATGGGGGCATACTGAAAAATGTATTTATAAATTGACAAAGAATAGGAAATAGGTCAAACTATTTTGGGTGAGGAAAACACCGTGTGGTGCATACTCACTGACACATTCATAATTAGTGACTTTGACAATCAGCCAAGTAACACTTTGAACACAATTAGTTTTTATAACACACACATATACACACCAGATTGAATCAGATAACTTTCACTTAATTTCCCCTTAGATTAAGGGACAGTGATAAACTCAAATACAACAAACTCAGAGTTTGGTGCTGTGACTCGTTGCAGAGCGGGTCTGCCCTTAATCACAAGGTTCGGCCACATTCGTCCAAGTGTCCTTGAGCAAGACGCTGAACCCACAGTCTTGCTCCTTGTGCGTTTCCGTTTTGGACTGTCGCCTTGAGGACGGATCCTGTGAACAGGGGACACGCATTTTTCTGCAATGAATGAAGAGAGTCTACGTATGAGTAGAGTTGATCTGTGTTTCTTAAATGGGAAATACCTATTCTTCATAGTTCTGTTGTAGAGCAAGTAGGAGTAAAAGACGGAACCCTCCCACTCCGTAGCTTCCCTCCCTCGGCGGCGGAGGCCAGAGGCGAGATGAGGTGGAGGGGCCGCTGCAGGGAAAGGTGTAGGCAAGCCTCAGTGGGCACAGCTGTAGCTCCTAGTCATTACTGCTCCTCTGCTGCTCTAGAAGAAAAGGGCCGCTGCAGCCACTTGGCCACTCTGCCACGCCTGCCCCGTCCCCTGCCACACACACACACACACACACACACACACACACACACACACACACACACACACACACACAGAAGCCTGGTAGCGCCAGGCGGCACCACTCGCCGTTTGCCTTCCCCTGTCACGTGTGGCGAAGCAGTGGAGCCAAACGGAGAGGTGTTGCAGGGGTAAAGGCCGGGTCCGGGGTGAGGATGGGCGGGTGCAAAGGTCCTCTCTTATCTCCCGGCTGACCATTCTCTTTCCTTACCCTTCCTCCAACCCCCTCCCCTCCTCTCCCTTTTGTGGCCTGTGCACCTGCAGCCCTTGAGTCCGGGCAATAAAGCTGAAGGATTTGTCTGCCGGAGGTTGGGGGGGGGGGGGAGTGGGGGAATCATTAAGAAAAGGGAACACAAAGGCAACAGGTTCCAACTGCGGTTGTTTGATATGGCGCTATGTTATAGTCGGAGTGATGTGCTTGACGTAATGCAGTTTGACAAAGGAGGAGTGAGTTTAAGCAGATTTGCGTCCAGATTTACACCCTGTTTGGGTTGGTGTCATTACGAATCAGTTTTATCTGACGCACGATCAGCTTTCAACCTTTGGCAGCCTTATTTCCATTCAGGGATTACATGTATCGAGCATTCACAACTCTCAACTGTCCCACGAAAACCAGGTGGTTCAGAAAGGTCAACATTTATTTTGACAATAAATGTTTCCTGATCTTTGTGCAATTTTAGAAATCAGCCCAAAGTTGGTCAAGATTTCTACGAGAAGAGGTGTGACATTAAGTGTCTCAATAAAGTAAAACTGATCTCATTACATTAAATCAACATGGTGTCATTTTTATAATGTTTTTAGATTTATTAATGACAAAATATTTTTAAGCATCGAAAGGGAATTCAGAAAAATCTTCTGGATGAAGCTTTTATCTGTTAAGTCGAATGCATCAATGGTTGCGGTCCAGTTATTCAATATATCTTTCCTAATGAATGCGTTGTGAACTGTTTGTTCAGCCTCAATCTTCTGTAAAGTTACTGTCATATTTAGAGGATCTTTATTTAAAACCTCCTCAAACGACGTGCAGACACAACGCATTTAGTGTTGTAACAGAAGAACTCTATGAAGCGGTTAAAATAAAAGCTTTCGTGTGATCAACCCAGTAGCTTCGCTTATTGGAATTACAGATTTACATCTACGTGTTCAGAACCAAATGCACAGTGACGGAGACAACAGGCGGAGCATCGTGGTCGTGTGTTCGAGGGTCCCCTGAAAAAGCTGCTTGTGTACTAACAAACCCACACGAAGGTAAGTGTGCTGAGAAGGTGAACTTTTCCCTCGGAACTGAACCGAGGGTTCAACGCAAAACACGGAGGCAAATGCCAAGTGAAATCGCTCTCAGACTCGGTTCGTTTCCCCACCTGTTGTAGTGTTATGTTCAGTCATGTAGAACTTTTCCTCTCACCCGTTGCATGCCGGACCCCCCACATTGTAAATCGGCGCAAAAGAAAAAAAAAAAAAGATTCGTCTCTTTCAGAGTGCGACCATGAAGGCAGAGGAAATCACTCTAAACGGTCTTAATTCTGCCATTAGACGAGAGGCAGCGCCGAGGGGATTGGCTGGCCCCGTGCTCCATATTCACAGAAGCAGGATGAGGCTGAGAAACCTGCTGAGAAAATGGTGTCGTAATCAGGAGCCGGCTGGTTCTGCCTGATCAGGTACACTAGCCCCTCTTCTCTCCCTTCCTTCTCTTTGGTGCCCCCTCCACTCACCGACCCCTTTCTTCCTCCCCCCCTCCCCTCATTTCTCTTCCATTCCCCTGCCTCGTAAGGAGATCCTAATAAGAGTTTGGACGTACTGAGCTCCTCTTATGCGAGGACCTGGCAGGAGGGGACAGAGATGAGGCCTGAGGTGGGGGGTTGAAGCTCGAGGTATGGAGTTGCGGTGGCGGGATGGTGGGGGTTCTCGTTTTTTTTTTTTTTTTTGTTCCCACATTTGATTATTCAGGTTGGCTGAACTAAATTCTAAACCCATAAAATTCGTATCCCCTCTGGGGGACCATTTGCATATATTTCAGTTACCCCCTCCCTCACATCCCAATTCCCCTTTTTTCTCAGAAAGTGAAAGAGAGGGCGAAGCAACCAGGCCTGTCTGGGCTTTAAGATGTCACCGTGGTGTGAAATATGGGCGAACAAGCAGGGTCTTTGAAACCCAAACTAACCCCCCACCAGCTCCTGAGCTGCTGCCACACACACACACATGCACGGACCCCGTCATCCTCCACTTGTTGCTGTGCTTAAATAGCAATTCAAGTTACATGTTCTGCAACTTCACTCTCAAACTTTTGCACCTGAGGTTCTTTCAGGTGACATATGATTAGGCAGTGTTTGTTGAGGGTTCAATTAATAAGAAAGGGTCATGTCAATGGACAGATGGGAAAGGAAGCTGCTCTATTTACAGTCGAGGGTTTCCTTCTGTGTTTATGGCCACAATGTATTACTTTACTTAAGTGCAATCATTTGTTTGGCAGTTGTGCACGTGCAGCTATTTACAAAATAACAGAAGCCATGACAGGTCAAACTATGCCATTATATCATCAGGGCCAAAAAACCCGCCGGAGGGCCAGGAAGAGTTCCAAATATTTGATAAACACGTCAAAGCGGTTAAAGCCTGGACTTGTAATTGGGCCAACTCCACCACTGCCGTTGTCGATGTAAGGGATTCATTTTCAGACAGAAATGTTCCCGAAGCCAGGTCTTAAAATCCCGCTCAGGACGCGTGGCCGGCACGACGAAGTCGAAGGGAACACACGTGTAGCCGGGCACGCGGACCCCTGGATGGAGGCAGGGCTCCAGTCAGCCACGAGAGACACCTGTTCGTTTGTTTGCTTTAGCGAACACAAGGTTTTTTTTGGGGGGGGGGGTGTGTTTTCTCCCGCCGTGCCAACCAGGCCCGCTGGCACTACTTCTGCTGCCCATCTGCATGGGTGAAGTTACACGACGGCCTTCGGAGCAGGGGAGGGAGGGAGGGAGAGGGGGGAGGGGGGGGGAGTCGATGCTTGATGGCATTTTTGGTCACATGGGGTGAGTCGCTGTCATCCTCTAACCCTCCCCTCCCCTTCCCCCCCTCCGGACCCCATTGCCTCCCCCTCCCGTGCCCACTCCCTGGTGCACAGGCAGAATGCAGTGTCAGGAGGGTGAGCACTGAGCGCCCATTGTGTGTGCTAACCAAAGCGGAATGCCCGGGTGACAAAAGGGGGAGGAGTGGGCTCAGGGCACACAAAGCCAGGGGGAGGAGAGGGGTGGAGGAGGAGGAGGAGGAAGAGGAGGGGAGGGCAGGAGAGGGGGGCAATCTGCTGGGGGCCAAATAGACCCGCTCAGCCCCAAAAAACTCTCGGCACCCTGAAAGTCTTCTCCTCCCCTTTCCCGCCTCCCCCCCGGTTGCCTTCTCACCCTCCCCAGGTCCCTCCGGCCTCCCTGGGATCCGGGCTGTACAGTACGCAGGCGGCTGGAAGTTTCCCGTTTGTTCCCGGCAGCGCGAAAGAGGAGAGCCGGCAACAACCAAACCAAAACTATCGAGTGTTGGTTTTGGTGTTATGAGTCACGGCCCCGAGGATCTAAAACGGGATTTATGTGCCAACCGTAGCCGTGATATTCACGCTTTGTCATCAGTCAGAGACGTCCCTTAAGCCCCATGTGTCACTGTCAAACGTTAACAAAACAGGCCGCACGACTTCACTGTTAAACGCTTTTACCAAATCTTTCAGGAAAAATATATTAAAACGTATATTTGAGCTCATCATGTCCCCTTTGCACTTTACTCCTGCCTTTCCACTGTTATGTCAATGACGTCTTTCACTGTACGACTAGTGAGTTCGTATCCATGTTTGTGTAAGTGTGGGGCGGGGGGGGGGGGGGGGGTGTGCATGTGCATGTACTCACCTGCCTATTAGCTGAGAGCCATCTTGCATGTAGCATTGCATGTCAAAGCCAGCCTCTCTACTCCCACACAGGACCCGGGGCAACAGTGCGGCCACTTTAAAACACACAAGACAAACCCTGAATTAACTCCGTCTTAATACCAATATATCTGCTGTAGCTGCAAGTAGGAGCACATCCACTTTAGACAGGCGTCTGCGGGACCTCTGTACTCTTAACAGCAGTCAAATCTGGAAAAATCTCTGTTTAGGGCTGATCTGCATACAAAACGTATATTAAATATGCATCCTTAGCAACTTTCTTTTTCTTTTTTTCATTCAATTAGAACATTCAACTCACTCGCTGCTAACATCAAATCTTTTCCTTGTAGTAAAAATGACCAGATACACCACCCAGGTTCGGCTGTTACCATTGAAGCCACGGGGTCACTTTAAAGAGACCCTTTCGTCCCTTGTGGTCTTTCCTCTTTCCCAAAATGATGACCGGGCAGATCAAAGGGTATAGGCTCTAAAGAATACTCTTAATGGCGACTCCCCCTCCCCCCTTGCCTTTTTTCTCCCACTCCCCTCATATGCCCACTTCACATCTGAACTCCCTCCTTCTTTCATTCATGCGAACCTCAGCCTTTCCCATAGTATTTACATACGCCGCTGCAGGGCAAAGGTAGTTCCCCGTTTTATCTTTGCTGAGTTCATAGGAAGTATCTTGCTGAGTTGTTGTGGTTTATGTGTTGTTAGTGAAACACAGAGGGTCAAATGCAAGCCTCTGGGGCATGTTTAGGTCACAGAGTAAACCTGGTAAGGTCGAGCCCAGTACTTTTGTGACTAACACAAAGTGTGAGTGTTTTTTCGGCGGCTCTCTAGGTGCCGCGCGCGCCGGCGCGCGTGTGCGCTCATGCATGCATGGACATCAGTTGCGTGAATGTCAGGTGAGTTTGTGCTGTCGGTGCTGGTGCAGTCAAAGCCTCTTCATCAGTGCTGACCCAGGCAGCCATCATTGTTCTCGAGCTGTAAATCACGCTACTGCAATCAGGGCCCTGATCTAGGCCTCTCTGAGCCCCCTCCACTCCAGATGATTCCCCTCCTGATTGGCCTAACAGGACTCCTGTCTGTGGTGGCAGATTAGCATGGATTGTTTCTTCTCCGTGGCATATAGATCGAGGTATGTTAGCATTCGCACCTCCGCAACGAGGCCCAGGGTTATTTGGAAGCTGCAAAAATGCAAAGAAAGGGCAGACATTCCTAGTTTTGATGGATCTAAAGTGGTGGACAAAATAATGGGGAAGCCCAACCCATCCTCGAGTACTTGTTTATACTGCATTTGGGTTGATTGGGTTTATTTTTAAGGCCTTCGTTTGTGTTGTTGAAATACCTTAAGGTGTTTTCCTAAAAGCAACTACAAACATTGGACAAAAAAAAACCCCAAATAACCTTTCTAGCATGTTGGGATTGAAGTGGTACCCAAGATTGGGCAGTTTTTATGTAACAATTACAGTCATATTTGACGTTTGTAGAAGCGAGAAGCTCTTTGGCATAATGTCCTCTGAGGCTATAAATGAGCTAGAATAAAAGTTGAAAATGAAATGGCCCCGAGGTTCCGATCAGCATTATTGGCCTTATGTGCTCATGCATGCATCCCCCAGTTGAATCAGGCTTTCCTCATCTGAAGGGACCTTCACATTTACCTGTATTTGCGACCACCAATTGTGACCGGCGGCTAAAGTCTCCTGTCTTTTTAAAGTGTGAAGACACTTTGGTCGTTTTTCTCTCAGACCACGTGAATTACAATAAACGGAAAGGTTACCGTTCACAATGGAATTTCACACCAGTAACGGCGAAAAATAAACTGCCCACCGCGGCTTTAATTTGTTCAGCAGGCCTCACGTTGCCTGCAAGAGTTCCCACCTACTGCAGCTCCTGTAGTTCTCACTCGCGGGGGTCATTTGTCCTCCCAGCAGGAAACCATTGGCCTGAGTACCTAGTCAACGGCAATCAGGGAGTGACCAATGCCCGGAAGGCAAGGCCCAAGGCCTCCCACGGAGAGGGAGCCTTCGCTGATCGACCAGTAGCTGCAGCTGTAACGGCAACCCGTGATGCGACACAATGAGCGGTTTGAAAGTCTGAGATGTAGGTATTAATTCCAAGATCTCATAGCTGTGTTTCAGTATGAACGAGTTAAAAGAAAAAGCTTTGTTAAGAGATTGTGAAATCGGCAACGTGCTTTCCTAGTATAGTTCTTTGCTTGTTTGCTCCCACTGTGAGTCAATGCGTTTCCAAAAGGATTTTTGAAAACGTACCCTCTTCCCTCTCTCCGCAACTCCATAACTGGTTGAGTTATGTTGTGCTGGAGACAGCCTTTGTGTGTAAGCGCCGCGGAATCCTAATGACATCACAGTGATTTCAAGCTCCGTGTTCAGTGATCACGGGGATCACAGGTCCCACGTCTGGTTAAATAGGACGGGAGGGAGTGCTTAGACACACACACACACACACACACACACACACACAGAGTCAGAAACAGTAAGGTTACAGTGTGAGTGTGTGTCATCTGCGATAATCTGAATTAAGAGTAGGATTTCTGGCACAATGTCACCTATGCGCGAGGTGCGTGGGGAGGAGAAGGCCGCCTTAAAGGGTCAAAGCTTCAGCATGATGTTTTGAACAGGTTGTATGACAAGTTGTTCTTCCTTGTCAGTGCACGAATGGCAAACGGATGCTTTTATTTGAGAGATTAGAGTAAACAGATGACAGGAAATGAGGGAAGAGAGAAAGAAGGAACGACACGCAACAAAGGTCCCCGGCCGGATACAAACGGGGGA